AGCATATTCACCCATTTGTGTTGAACTACTGTGAGGATTGTCATGTACATTTAATAAAATATCAAGTTTCACATTGTTTTCAATTTTAGGACGCCCAGCATTTGAAATATGTTTAACGTGCCCAGTTTGTCCAAATTTTCGGACTTTCACCTACTGTTGATTGGCTGATGGGTCTGTCTAGATATTTTGCATTGAATAAATTGCATACCTGTTTATTTATTATTTTTTATCTCCGCTTACGCTAAGAATTATTATTTCTATGCGATGTGTTTAATTTAGCCATAATTTAGTACTCAAAAGTAAAAATTACAATTGACAACTGTTGACAATTCACAATATCAAAACATTTACGTCAATAAATATTACAGTAACTATGCCACTATAACTTTCTAGAATTAATAATTGTTTTAATATAAATATATGGGTGAAACAAATTTTCAAATCCTAACTACAAACTTGAAAATCAACAGAATAGTAGAAATTTATTTTTGAGACGTAGAGAAGAATTTGTAACAACTACCTATAACATAAAAAGAACTGATAACTTCAAACAAGAGTAAGATTTTATTTCAGCCTATTAAATATTACAAGAAAAAATCATGAACTAATTTAAAAACTTGAGAAGAGAGTATAGGTAAACTCAATATACATCATTTATGTAAAGGACCACATACTAGACGCCATCATCCTTGTCCTGCCTTATAAATTTCATTTTATAAAAAAATATGTTGATGACATAATATTAGCGTTACCAAGTACGGGGATAAATAATATACTTTGGTATTTCAATAGTTACAACCCCTACATTCAATTCACATTAGAACGTGAAGATGCTACATGTTCAGTACCTTTTTTAGATACCAAGTTAATACGAAAATGTACCCATTTGCTGGTTGATTGGTATAGAAAACCTCTTAGTTCAGATAGATATCTCGATTATTGGTCATACCATAAATATTCAATGAAACTTAATTTAGTTAAAGAAATGAAAAATCGTGTCCTTAAAATGAGTGATACCGCTTTCCATACAAAAAAATCTAATAATCCTTTATAACCTATTCATTGAAAACTCATACCCAAGTATACTACTGAAGAAAATTTTGTTTAACACTCCACAAAATTTATTTAGTCATTTAAGACACGAGGAAAATATGTCTTTATCACAAGATAGGATTGGACCTGTAGATTAAGTAGACCAAATAATACTTTAAGTTTCATTTTGTCGATATCTTGTATATTTTGTCCTATCTTAATTTTTATTTTTTTTGCCGTACTAAAGCCAGTCTGTCATTTGTTCTTTTTATTATTTCAGCTGATTATTATCACATTATCAGTGAAAATATATCGTTGTTGGATTTTAATTTGCCAACAATTTTACAGAGCCTTTAAAACCAGGTAAATGCCTCACCAAATCAATTACTTGGGTTCTACTGATATTTTTCTACGCAGGCTGCATCAACCATTTGTAGCGATTTCTTCCATAAAACGCCCTTCCTATATCCTCCTCAGTCCATACGTGCAGCCTGCTGGACAATGTTTACTAAATTTTTTACACGGTGACTAATTGGGTTAAGCATCTCCGCGTCCTATAGTGCAGCTTATTGGACTTCCTATTTATCAGTCAAATTTACTCGTTTGCAAAATTTGACTACAACGCCTACTTCATTAGTTTGTTGTTACATGTGGTGAAACTTGTGAGGTTATGATGGCGTCTCCACAAAAATGCAGTAAGTTGTAGTGTTTTTCTGTATTTTAAATTATTGATTGTTTGTCATTTATGTTATTTGATATTTGGACGTTTTTGTGGTAAATATATATTTGAAAATAATTACAACTGGTCAGGTCAGGACTCCTCTGAAATTTTTGTCCAGCATTTTGGACATTGGGACTTAGTTAGCAAAATATTTTACCATACTCACGTTGTTTACGTTAGGTTACAGACAGAAAAAGGATATTGACAGAACGTGAATTGGAGGATATTTTGGCAGATAGCGATTTTTTCCTCAGTGACGATAGCGATAATAATTGCAGTGAGAAAGAGAATGTTTCTGAAAACCTTTCAGATGTTTTTCATGAAAACGAAAATAATGCCCAAAATGATTTAGAAAATGATTCAGATTCGGAGTGGGATTCAGACGATGATACTCCTTTACTGCAGCGTTGGGAGAAACTCCAGGAAACTAAACAATTAGATGATGTTAAGAATACTTGGAGTGAAAAAAATTTTGAAACTCAAGATTTCGACGTCGCTGATCCATGGATAGCTAATGAAGATCACGAATTCTGGACACCATTGGATTATTTTTCTGAGCATTTTTGGGAAAACTTGTCTTCAGCAAGTAACATACGAGCTATGCAAGCAAACGAAAAGAAAAGCCTAAAGTCAACTCCAGAGGAATTCAAGAAACTAGCAGGTATTCATATTTTGATGGGAATTTTTGGACTACCGCGTTTACGCCTCTATTTCATGAAAGGAATTGAAATTTCTATTATTACTCAGCTTCCCCGAGATAGAATCTACAAGTTACGAAATTTTTTACATGTTGTAGACAACTGTGCAGTTTCAGAGGAGACCAAAAAGGCAAATAAACTTTGGAAAGTTCAGTATATTCTTGATGTTGTACGAAGTAAATGTATCACTCTTCAAAGATCGCTCGAGTTGTCATTTGACGAACAAATGATTCCGTTCACTGGAACCACTAGTCTACGACAGTATGTCAAGAACAAACCTAATCATGTAGGTTTGAAGAATTTTCTTCTTGCTTCAAAAACAGGGCTAGTCTTGGATTTCTTTATTTATCAAGGTGCAAACACTTAGCCTGATGCTGCTCCTGACAAATCCTTGTGCATTGGAGGCTCTGTAGTGAAAAAATTGTCGATGCACTTGTGTCCAGGAACAACAATTTACTTTGATAGATATTTCACTTCCACTAATTTACTCGATTATTTATTAGAAAAGGGAATATGTGGTATTGGTACCATTATGAATAATCGAATTCCACGAGTACTTAGAAGCAAAATAAAAAAAGATTCTGCTTTACTAAAAGAAGGCCGAGGGTCGCATGAAGAATGGGTACGCGGTGATAAGAAAGTCTCTATTTTGAAATGGACGGACAATAGATCTGTGACAATGGCTTCTACATCTGCAGGTTCTTTGCCTTTGACTGACGTACGAAGATAAGATAAAAAAAATCAAAGTATATTCTGGTGCCTTGTCCAAACACAATTGTTAAATACAACCAGTCAATGGGAGGCGTGCATTTGTGTGACAGATTTATCTCATATTACAGAATCTGTATGCGCCCTAAAAAATGTACGTGTCTTTTGGCACTTTATTGATCTTGCATTGACCAATTCATGGATAGAGTATCGTCAGGATAGGGTAGCGTTTGGCGATAAGAGATCCAAGGTAATGGATTTACTGGAATTTAAGCTGTATGTTGGAAGGTCACTAGCTTTAGGTAGTAAGCCTACAAATGGGAGAGAAGCTAGTACGTCTATTTCAAGAAAACCGGAGACATCTGAAGATGAAGAGCCCATAATTCCAGTAAAACGATCTAAAGTTGTCCACTTACCGCCTATGAATGTAAGAAAAACTAGTAATGACCATTTGCCAATATGCTCTGTCGACAATAAAAATTCTTACATGCGTTGCCGAAACCCTGGGTGTACTAAGAAGACTAGATTCTTTTGTGTAAAATGCAAAATGTACTTGTGTATTTCTCCTGAACGAGAATGTTTTTTTCAGTTTCATACTTAAATTATATGTAAGTTAAGTCCTGATGCCCATTATGCTGGACCTGTCATGATTATGTCTGTCAAATAATTTTTTTTTTAGTTTTTATAGATTTTCGTTTATTTTTTTCACAAATCAAGAGGGAAAATAGAAAATATTGCTAAAATAATAAAAACTCTTTTCTTGAGACTGAGGAGGATATTATTTGCAGAATCCAATTTTTGATCACTATGGTAATCGTTAGTGTTATTTTGCCCTTTTTCAATAACATACTCGTGTATTTTGTACATATTCTGAAACATTTTGTTCATTATCTGCCGTATCATAATCACCATCTTCTATATTTTAATCGTTGTCAATTATGTCGTATTCCGAATAAGCGTCCAGTTCCATCATATCAATACATTACAATCTCGACGTATTTTTCATGGCAATATTAAATTTTTTTACTTGTACTGGCCAGCCCTCTGCAAAATAGAATTTATGAAAATATTGCATTCATGGTGACATGGGGTTGCTGCTGACACAAGCGTATTTCACATAACCAGTAGTGAGAATATAATAGCATACCTTTACTTGACGTTTGCATTATTCACAGAAGACTAACAAAATAATACATATCTCGAAGTTTGTGTATGTTGTTAAATGAGCAATCGTTTTACAACTAAATTCGTACCGCTCTGGGGTACTGAATGGCACTATTGTCACCAGTTGAGGGTTAATTAAAAAAAAAACAAAAATATAATATATAAATCTAAAGCTTAAATACATATCTTCAAGTCTACGAGAACCAGTCGTTCCTATAAATCAAGCCATTACCAAAAATAACAAAAGGTTGACAGATTATTTGCATAATACAAAAACTTTTGAATCTCATCTCAATGTAATTTTTCGGTATCAATATACAATTATATATAATATGAAATAATATAATACATAATAAATGTAAACGAAAATATAGAAATAGCATTTAATGATGGATCGATACAAAAAAGTAATAAAAAAACATAAAAGGTACATAAAAAAACAACGTAGAAAGTCTGAAAACCTAAAATTGGGAAGAGCTGGAGTTAAATAAAATTGTTTGGCTTTACATCTATAGAGTAAAACGGAAGAACAAAAATTTATAAACTTTGACACAGAACTCTATCTCATTACCCTAATAGAAACATAACAAATGTAGTGTTTCATTCAAGAAAACGCTACACGCTATCTCTGGTGGCGCTGTTTCGCTATATTCATTGCTATACATTACTACTCTTACCTGAAGCTGCCATATAAGTAGACCCTGTAGATTTAATTTTTTCGATGTACTTGAATTGTTCTTCTGACAGTAATTCATCAAAATCAGCTATAATTTCATTAAGAAGACGTAAACATTCAACTCCCTCGTTGTTGCTCTCAAGTTCAACGTAAAACTCCGAAAAATTTGGAATCGTTGCGAACATTATGCACACGAAGTCACATTGTTCGTGATAGAGTTCCTGAAAATAAAAAGACTATATTTTTACATGAATAACCAAAAACTACAGCTTTATGATTATTCACAAAAGGGCATAGCTGCCTAAGAATGTCAAAATTACCCCAGCGGAAACTTGACGCCAAATTTTAAAGTAATGTTTGGCATCACAAGGTATAAAGATTCAATAAATTTTAGCACAAAATAATAACACATAACCTTAAAATTCCAAAAAACTTTAAAAATCGTTTTTGGCCTAACTCGCTTAATTTTTTACCAAAGTATAATTTTTTTTTTAATTAAAAATTTGTTTTCTCTACAAAAATATAAGAATGAAAATAAGATTTTTTAAAGTAGTACAGGGCAGTTAAAAATCGAAAAAAACGTTTATTATATGCAGTACTTTAGATGGTTTGGACATAATGTCAGAATGAATGTAAGTTCCCTCCTCTTTCATTTAGTATCTCTAACTTCAAAGTCAGACCAATACCAAGAAAAATACGATATAGTGTCCCTTCGTCAATACCTTCATATCCGTTATTTCTATAAAAACCGTATTCGTTATCCTCCCCTTTCCAACGAGGTCTCATACGTTGACCTAAGAACTTGCATTTGGCACTTGTCATGTGTAAGAGAAAGAAGATTTGACGGATGGATAAGAATAATTAAGAGATGGCTTAACAGAGAGCCGAAAAAAAATTTAAAAAGTTTACTGACGATATAGTTGACATGACAACTGGCAGTTTACAGCTATCAGCAGCTTTATTGTCTACAACAATATATAATTACATATTACGGTCCGGTGCTACTCTTACAGTGTCTCACAAATCTCTGATGCTCCACGCCAAGGCCAAGCTAAAAAAATTTTATCAACAATTCAATAATCAATAATTTTAATCAATCAATAATTTTTAAGTTATTCTGAGTACTGTATACTGCTGCCTCGAAACTAAAATACTTTAGCCAAAAGGCAAAAAAAATTTAAATCAAATTGATGTCTTAAATTCCTTCAGTCCTTATTTGTCTCTAAATATTGTTGTACATTCTTTTGTTGTTTTTTGATTTTCTTCTTAATTCCATGAGTTGCTGTATAGAATCATTCATCCAACTTTTACTCTTTTCTTTTTTTATTCGATGTTCTTCTCTGATCTTGTTAAAGGTTTCACATATAGTCTGGAGTGATTCTTCTGTATTATATGTTTGTTCCATGCTACTTGGCTTCTTCGAACGAATCCGTGTGATTTTCTCTTTTGTTTTCTTACATTTAAGTCTTTTCATATTGCGTTTATTGTTACTAGCCTTTTTGGTAAACTTCTTACATAAAAACCTAACTTTACCAACAACAGAAAGATGATCTGACGATATGTTAGCACCACATATTTGCTTATATTTAACAAAAACACATTAATTTCTGATTACTATGGTTTAAATATTTATTTATTGTAGATGATAATGATAGCAACTTATAGGTTTCCAAAAATTGACAATCACATTTACAAATGTATAACCAGTTTTTAAAATGCAATAAATGAAAAAAAAAAAAAATAACAGATGTATAAAACGTCCATTGTAATATTCGACATTTTATAATTCTTATAACCGACGTACGTTTGGCTTAAATATTTTCTTTTATTTTTTATTATAAGAATGATGACGATGTTTAAAGATTTTATCTTCTAATTTTCTTCTTTGTTTTTTAATATAATGTAACTTAAAGAGATAAACCTAAATAACGCATTACCAAATCATTCCAAAATTTTGTTATAATAAATTAGTAAATTTATAACAAATCAAAACTATATATTCTTTCCTATGATATTTCTTTTAAACTTACTGAACGTGTACCTTTTTTTATTTGACGAATTGCCGGACGATTTGCTCGAACTCTAGTACGCGACAAAGAAGGTATTCATTGAATTCTGGCAGGCGCAGTGAGAAAAATCTCTTTTAGACATCGAATATCACGGAGCAAGACACCCTGGCATCTTTTGGCTGAGTATAACACTAGGCCAGTAGACCGCAGGGTAGTGCCGAAGTAACTGTGTTCCGGCTAAAACCTTAACCACCGCTCCAGACTAGTGGCATCTTTTGGCTGAGTATAACACTAGGCCAGTAGACCCCAGGGTAGTGCCGGAGTAACCGTGTTCCGGCTAAAACCTTAACCACCGCTCCAGAGTAGTGGTTTTACCAGTCAATAAAAAACTAAAATGCATATATTAGCCGTTATCTTAACCCTTATCCTGGCAACACATTTTACTTACGTAACCGGGCAACTGAGGTCCGTTGGGTCCACCACTGTTCTTGAATGTACAATAGTGATATATACCCATATCTAATAATCTTTTTTGATTTTTTAATAAAGTTAAATTTAAATAGTCTAGATTAAAAAAAAGGTGCTACAATAGTATACGGTGTTCCTCGAGGGCGCGATCCTGCACATCCGAGGTAGACCGCATTGGAAACTGCTGCGTCAGTGTTGAAAACTGCTGTTGTTCAAGATCTGCTTGTATCTTATTGTGGCAAGCTTTACCTTCACCGGCATGACTCCGTCTATGCCAGCTGCTCTTTTGGATCTCATCTGTTCAACGGCCCCTCCAAGTTTTAACTAAGTAAAGAGTTCTGCTCCATATATAAGAGAGGGAATAAAAGAGACTGTTCCAATTATAGAGGTATTAGTGTGACGAGCTCTGTGGGCCGGTTGTACGGCAGGATATTAAAGAAGAGGGTTGAAAGACAGATACAAGATATTGAAGAACAAAGCGGCTTTCGTACCGGGAGATCCTGCCTTGATAATATATTTATCCTACGACAAATAATTGAAAAGCGTGTCGAAAGAAGTAGAGAGACCCATTTGGTATTTATAGACCTTGAGAAAGCATATGATAGTGTCCCGTTAAAGAAAATGTTTGAGGTCCTCAAAAGGTCCGGATTGGATTCGACGTATATCCGAGCGATATATAAATTGTATGAAAATGCAGTTAGTTGTGTAAAAATTGGAACCAGAACCTCAAATGAATTTAAAGTCACTAAAGGCCTAAAGCAAGGATGCTGTTTGTCACCGACACTCTTTAAAATATACGTCCAAGAAGCATTGAGGAATTGGAGAAATAAATGTAGATTTATGGGCATCGAAGTGGGACAAGAAATTCTGTATACATTGCTGTTTGCAGATGATCAGGTGGTGGTTGCAACCGATGAGGAAGATATAAATTATATGAATCGAAAATTATTTGAGGAATATGCCAAATGGGGGCTTACTGTAAACATAAGCAAAACAGAATATTTAAAAATTGGAGGAAATACAACAGATCTGAGGCTTGAAAACGCAGTCATAAAAGGCTGCAACCAGTATAAATATCTAGGAAGCATCATATCAGCAGATGGCAGAGTTAAGATAGATGTACAAAACCGAATAACCCAAGGGAAAAAATGCATCCGAATACTGAATTCATTACTGTGGTCTAATAAAATAAAGATGCATACCAAACTTCGCATATACAGAGCAATTGTAGAACCAATTACCACATATGGTGCCGAATGTTGGACGATGACAAAGAATGAACGAGATAAAGTAGACGTTGTGGAAATGGATTATCTTAAAAGGTCATGTCGAGTATCGAGAATGGAAAGAACCAGGAATGAGGAAATACGAAACCGTACAGGAATTAGAGATACTGTTTCAGATAGAATACAAGGAAGGCAATTACAATGGTATGGTCACGTGATGAGAATGGAGGAGGAGCGGTGGCCAAAGAAAGCCTTAATGTATGTTCCGCCAGAAAGAAGGAAAAGGGGAAGACCACCAAATTCCTGGAGAAGAGAAATTACAAAAGCAATGCAATCTAGAGGCTTAGAAGAGGGAGATTGGAGAGATAGGAAAAGATGGAGGCTGAAATGCGGGAAGCGGCAATCGCCGTAGGACCCCCGTTATATGATGATGATGAAGAGTTCTGCCTCTACGAAACCAGTAGCCCTTTCACGCCTATCGTCCACCGGAGTAAAGAGCTTCCATATTAAACGGAGTTTTTCTTCCTCAGGCAAAATGTTGGGTATCTTTTTAGCTTCAATTCGATACGCATAATCTTAAAGCCCTGCCCCAGATATCCATTTTATCTAATTCCTGTGTTCATTCTGCAGTCGCTTCAATTAATTCATTCTCTCTTTCAAATCTCCTGTTTGCAATCTTCTTAACCTCCTGTACTCACCTCTTACTTTTATACAATTTGTTCTTAGATATGGAAGCCGCTGTTTCCACTAGTATGTGTTTCATTTTATATCTCCCATTTGATCTTACACAAGCCCCCACTATGGCACTACTGTGCTGTACTTAGACCCTTAATGAATTCACTTACATTCTTGCATCTCGGAGAAATCAAGTTTAAAACATGTACAAAAAGGTCCTCACTTAAACATCTCGTTAGATCGATATTCCCATATTTTTGTTTCTGCCTTTTACTAGTTAGTTTAAAACTCACATACTAGTGTAAACTAGGAGCAGCCTTGTACGAACCTATTTGTGCCTAGTGAGATATCCAGAAAGAATTAATTATTACCTCTCACGAGTGTAGGTGCTTTACCGTCATTTAGCACGGTAAGCCTTACAGTATTTCTTAGCCGTTCTGATAAATATTGCCTCTCCTGTCTTGTACTTGTGGATTCCATGAACGATCTTTCGCATTCAGGTCACCAGCTATGACGACCAGTATACTAACTGGTACACTTCGTCCCAGCCTCTTGCCTAATCAAATCAACGTACTCTTCATATACTCGAAGCGGAAAGTTTAGTGAAACATAGCAATTGTACACCATCAGATATCTGACGTGTACGTTAACATAGATTTACCAACTTCTTGATTCACCACGTATACGGCTACGTCAGATTTTATATCTCTAATAATACCTTATCGAGGGACCAACTTTATAGGATCATGTTATAACCTTCCCTTCTTGCGTGAGCTTCTGCATCATCATATGCGGCCCCTTGACCTTTTCACATTTATTTGTAGAAACTTAGTATTAGATCGTTCTTATCTCTCTAATTTACTTACCCTCACGCTGTCCAATTTCAGGTCCTAGGTGCCTTCACTCAATTTTACCTTCTCCCTTCCGGCAGAGTCTTTCTTAAATCCCCCGCTTTTTCGGGATAAGCTTTTTTAATCTAGGCACCCTAAGCTATCGGCTTTGTATCCGGATTTTTAACAAGTGAGGCAAAAAACCTCCTCGCCACTGCAATCTGGGGGCTAGGCCCCCTTGACACATCTATAGCAGAAGTCCGCTCTGTTTTCTTCCTTTCAGTCGGTTGTACTATGCCTGCACTGCATGCATCTAAAGAATCGCTGAAAATATAGTCTCTCTCGTATTTTGTACGTGTTACAGCCTATTGGTACATGCTCTCTTTCCAATGCCTTCTTAAATACGATCTGCGTCAGTCCAACGGTTTGTGTTTCCGTCTCTTTTTTCCTTATATGAACGAGTTTGACGTCATTTGTGACTTCTCCGCATATATCAAATATGTCTACCTATATCTGACAGTTCCGGATGTCCCTTCCGTGTTTTTTGCTTTGTACGAACCACGATAGTTTTCTCCAAGCGCTCGAGCTATTTCTTGTTTGCCACTTCGAGAGTGAGGTTCCCGTTTTTCCTCGTATCTACGCTACACTTAATTTGTTTAAGCAACTTGGCGTAGGATTTTTGCCTCTATCCACAATCACCTTATGCGTCTTCGTCCTGATGTTTTTATACTACTGCAGCTTAAAGTGAAAGTCCATACCACTAAAGATGGCTTTTAGAAGCTTCCTGAGGTTCCTACCTTTCATGAATTTTTATTTTCTCATTTCTTATTTTTCTCTGGTCCTTATCGCCTTCATGTCTACTCTTAATTTAACCCGAATTATCTCCGTTTATTTTCTTCTGCGCTTTTTATACAAAAACCATGAACATTGTCTGACGGCTTTCTTGGTTTTCCTTCTGCTGGGCCTTCCTTGTAATTCTGATCTAAGTATGTATTGAGTTGTGTATTGAGTTGAAGGTATTCTACCTCTCCGGGTTTATATGTACCTCCTGTACATACCTTCAGTTTTGGATTTTCCCTTATCAGATCGTGGAGCGTTTCTCCCTTGGCGAAAAGTTTAGGCTTCATAACTGCTACCACGTCACCTGCATGTTTGTGCCCTATATATCCCCAGTGACTCTCTCTTTGATTTAATTTGTAATCTCGACCTTCGTGTTTGTATAATCAGATATTAAATCCCATATGCCAGCTCATATGCCCATACCATATGAGCTGTTTTCTCTCAATATCCTCAACTATAGTGCCCTCTATACCCATTTGTTGTTTTATCACTTCATTCCGTATTCTGTCGGCTCTTGATATTCTCATCGATCTTCTGATGGCATCCATTTCCGTGGATTCGGCCTTTTTCTTATATTTCTCGGTTATTCTCCATCTCCCAGCTCCATAAAGTAGGCTAGTTTTAACCATTGTCTCATAGATGTTCCATTTTCTTTTCTTTGATATTTCTTTACTCCATAGAAATCCGTTCAAACATGCTATAGCACTACGGTCGAAGATGACGCCCAGGTATTTATATTCGTCGCATGAGAGATCACCACCTGATCATCTGCAAACTGTAAAGTATATATGTAATCCTGATCGTTCAATTGTATACCCATTCCTTTGACTTTCCTTTTCCATTGTTTTAGAGCTGCAGAGATATAAATCTTAAATAGAGTCGGAGAGATACAACATCCTTGTCTGAAACCCTTAGTAACTGCAAACAAACTGTTTAAGACAGAAGATGTTATCTGTACATGAACGACCTGCTCTAAATCCTCCTTGTTCTTCGTCTTTAAACGATTGATAATCTTCCTCTATCAGGTCCTGTAGTATACGACCGTATAGTCGACTCATTGAACTTGTGACCGATATCCCTCTATAGTTTTTTTTATATATTGGGGTCATATATGCTGTTTTCCATTCATCTGGTGTTGGATGTCTTTTAATATATTCGTTAAATATCACCGTGATCATTCTGTGTAATTTCTGTGAGCCATTCTTTATTAATTCCGTAGTTACTCCCTCTGGTCCACTTGCTTTCCTATTCTTCATCCCTGCTATAGCTTTTTGAACTATATATTATAATCATAATCAACTATCATAATATTACTATGCTAATTTACTCCACATCTATTATCATCTCAATATATATATATATATATATATATATATATATATATATATATATATATTATATATATATATATATATATATATATATAAATATTTATATGTATATATATATATATATATATCTAGTTATATATATATATATATATATATATATATATATATATATATATATATATATATATATATATATATATATATATATATATATATATATATATATATATACCAAAAACATCATAATTTAAAAATATAAATCGAATTTTAATGAGATTCTTCCCCAAATTCTCGATTCTCGAAAAAATTAATTTGTTCCATAATTTTGACCCGCATTGTATATGTTGTGCAATATTACCAGTTCAAATATGCATAACTAATAACAAATTCGTTGAATACTTACATCATTATTTTTGTCACTGTTTAGAAAATGTTCTGCTACATGAACAGGCAGTATATTCGCCAATAGCTTTCTGTTATAGGCCTCCAGGTGCTCCATATCTTCCTTTTCCTCTGAAATAAAAAATTTAAAATAACAATTTATTTTTAAGAGCCTGTATTAGCTCGTGTAAAATCCAAACAATTGAATTTTACTGTTAAGTGTAATAATTATTATAAGAATCATAAATAAATAAACTTAATATATAATGGATATACACCGATATATATGTAAACAAGGAATAAAAAAATTCAGTTATTAAAAAACAACAACAGGGAAACGTACAAAATTTAGTTTTTAAGTGTGTTTGAAGAATTAAAGTTAATACATTTGTTTTTATTTTGATTTTGAATATATGAGCAAAAACAAAATGAATTAAGAAATTCAAATTTAAAACATTAATCGTGTAAAAGCAAACATTTATTAGTATATATAATTAAAGTCAATAAGGAATAAAATAAGTTATCTTTACTTCATTTTAAAAAAAAAACTTAAAAAATTTTAAATAAAACTTTGAGACTAGCTTCAGAAATCATAAAGATAGAATTGAGATAATTCTTAACAGCATTATCTGAAAAAAAAACAAACTTCATGATGAAAAATTCTATTATTAATCATTACCAGAAGTACCAAGATTATAGGCATGATAAGTGGTGTTGAATTTACCTTCCAAGTTTTTAAGCTTATTGAACCTAATACGCATTTACTGAATAACCGAAAATATTAAGTGTAATAAGAAATTTTAAAAATCGACAAGTTAAAAATATCCGTTAATCACTTAGGCAAGCGAAAGGAAATATGAAGATATGTTATATGCAATAAGAACCGTAACAGTATGGATAAAAAAGTATTGAATTACTAAAATTACTTAAATTGGTTTAATAAATGTTATTTACAGACCACCTATTTTTAAACCAGATCGTTTAACCACACTTGTAACATTGTCAATGTAAGAACTACTGTAATAAATAAAGCGCATTCTCTGACAGTAGCTGCTGAAGAAACCTAGCCAAACATATTAAAATATTACTTAGGACAAAACGCAAATTCAAGTATTCTAATAAAATTAACTACTGATCTTATAGAGCAATCAACATTAAAAATAGAGTAATTTAAATAAGCAGGGTCATAAATTGTCAAAAATAATAAATAGCTGATACTACGGACTTGCCAATCAGCAGTTTCGAACTTCCGTTACGAATTATTTGTCAACCAGCAACATACCATGGAAAGCTGTAAGACTAGGACAATGTTCTTAGAAACATATAGCATTATTTGGCAGATACTTTGTAAAATATAATAGGGATAGAGAAAGATACGCTAAAATTATCATATTCCTTACATTAGCAAAAATTTCGTTGTACCTAATTCCTATCAAGTCATCAGTCTGTTGCCTCTATCCGGTGAAATTTTTCACGTAAAGCGAATATACGAAGAACATAAACACACAACTATATTTTTGCGAAATAATCAAATTGGTTTATTTTAAAAAATTATACCACCTCTTAGGATTATAGAATGAAAGAACATAAATTCTGCAACGCCTTCTGTTTTACCAATAAACTATATTTGGAACTTTACTATTGACGACATACTTACTAGAACTAGAGAACACGCTAACGTATTTTAACTAATATCGATGAGGCTTCGGAAAATTTTCAAACACAGCTCATCTCCTTAATGACATTGTAAAAAAAAATTAAGGGAAAAAAATGAACCAAATGAAATTTGTAAAAGTCACATGCCTTATCGTACCACTCAACATTGTTCCCATATCTGTAGATATCATGGGTAAATATAGTTTACCTAGGCTTCCACATAGATTAAAACTTTACCTGGAATAAATATATAAAAAAAAGCGGATAATTAGATATCAAAGTGCTAACAAGTTTTAAGGGGAAAATAAAAATTATCTTTTTCTATTAAATTATCTCTTAATAACTTAATAATTTTTAATAAATGAATTTTATAGAAGACAATTCTCAAACTAATTCATTTCTTAATATGATATTACATTAAATAACTATAAAAACGAGATAGTGAAGCAATGGTACAATGCTGGTACAGAGTGTATAAAACTCGGGCTAACATAGCCAGTGCACCTTGTGCATTAAGATCCCTTCCTCTAAGCAGAAACCTGAATGGATAATTTTCTTGTATGTGCACCACGACTACTCATCCCCATCTTTAATTAAAATTAGTCAATAAAAAAATGTAGATCTTATATTTATTTGTTTGTACTTGATAGTATGTAAAAAAACTTACCTGTAGCTTGAAGCTTCCAAACAAAATCTAGCCTATATGTAGCTTCTGTTTGTTGACCGTGAATAATCAGAGCAATAACAAATCCACCTAGTACTATTATGTTCATATACTGATGAGTAAAGGTATGTTCGCTAAAAATGATTGCCTTATTAATAAACACACGTAACGATATCTAAAATTTTATAGTTATATTATTTTACAAATAACAACAGATTTACCTATTTATAAAAAGCCTGAAAAGGTAATTAAGGACTACGAACACAAAATAAAGACGGTGCCGAAGTACATCTTATTGGCATTCAGAAGTGGAAAGATTACCTTCATAAGCTCTTAACCAAATATATAAGTGAATTTCAGGAAGAAATTTAGGAAGGGAATATTCAAAAATAAGCAACAATACCTGCTGCAGAAGTAGGAAAATGTGTCACGCAGTTAAATAATGGGAAAGGATCTGGTCCAGAAACTATTAGTAACGAACTACTCAAAGCAGCTCTGGAAAAATTAAAAATGGTAATTCTTGAAATTTTTTAAGTCAACTTCCACAACCAAGATAATGAAATAATACTTATAAGAAAGAAAGTGGGAAATGTGCCTTCTATCAACAGCAATATTTCGATTTGGCACTATATTTTTCGAACATTATTATATAAATCATACGATCGGCTATAAGAATGATGTCATCTGCAAATCTCAAATGACTAAGTTTTTTTTAATTTATATTGATAACATGCTCGTTCAGATGTGCCATCTTGCAAGTATGTTCTAAAAGCATCGTGAATAGAGAGACTTTAGAGAGATGGTGTCTCATTGCCATACTCCTTGTTGCATACAGAATTTATTTGTTTCTTGTTTCGATAGTATTACGCTAGCTGTGGGATTTTGGTAGATATATTTTATTATGTTAGCGTAGTGATGGTCTATTTGGCATTCCGTCAATGCTTTTAACATTTTCTGATGGCCCATGGTATCGGATGTTTTCTCCTAGTCGACAAATGGTTTTTTGTATTCTGTAGACTTTTTATCAGGTTCTTTATCACTAGTAAGTGGTCGTTCATGCGGTATCCCAATCTAAATTTAACTTGTTCTTTAGACTGATAGAGGTCTAATTCAGCGTCCAGTCTTTTTTTTTAATGTTTGTGAAAAGTTTATATTTATGAGAAACAAACTGATAGGACGGTAGTTTTTTAGATCTTTTATGTCTCCTTGCTTATGTAATAAAATAATGACTGCATCGTTTCATTGAGAAGGAGTTTTTCCTTGGTAGATACATTCAGTGAAAAGCTTGGCGAAAGCCTGGATAATTTTATTTCCACATAGTTTTATTGCTTCGATCACTACTCCGTTATCGCCAGGGGATTTATTATTTTTCATTTCTAAAAGTGCCGTTTTGATTTCTTATTGAGTTATTTCTGGCATTAATTTTAAACCCTTTTTTGTGATTTTGTGCAGTGGCTTATCTGGCCTTTTGAGTGTGCTCTCATACATTTCGCGATAAAAGGATTCGACATCCTCAATGATTTTGGTTGTATCAGTAGTACGTCTTTTTGGATTGATCGGTGGATATCTTTATTTAATTTCTTCATTGTTGTGTATTTAAAGCCGTATTTGTCCATCAGCTTTCTTCTTTTACCCATTAGGTCTTTGGTATTTTGGCTGTTTTTCTTTATGGATCAGCACGGTCGGGCAGCACTCCCTTTTCGATTCTTTTGATCTACATCTTTTATGTCATCTTGCAAGTCTTGTATATATCTGGTTAGTATATCTTCATTTCTTTTTTCTTGTTTTTAGGATCATCTTTTTTCTTTTCAATTTGAGATATAATAGTATCTTGTTGAGTACTTTGATGTCTTTGATTATTTATTTTGTGTAAGTTATAATATTATCTATTTCATTTTTGATACTGCGATCTAGACTAATCCATGTCGAATTAAGCTAAGGCTTTTTATCGAAAAAGAGCTCATCATGAATAAATGTTTCTAGTGTAAGAAGTTCAGCAATCTTAAGCCTCGTACATGTTTTCGCCATATCCATACACACCCAGTGCTACTTCTGCATCAACTTTGAACCCCATATTCGCATTTAGGTCGCCCATAATTATTGTGTAGCTGGTGTGGCATGTTACGCTGTTTCTATTTTATTTTAAATTGGAGCATATGTCAAGAGGATTACCTTAATATTATATCTTGCATTTAGTTTGAAGATGAGATATACAATCCTGCTTTCTATGTTTAATGAATCCTACTTCACCATTTGAAGTGTCTTCGTTACCTTTAAAGTGAAATACGTGTCCTGATTTAAGACGAATTTGGGTTTTTTCTATTCGTCTTATTTCGCTAAGGCCGTTGATATTCCATTTTATCCTTTTTAGCTCTTCCTAAAGTTCCATCACTTCTAGTCTTTTAAAAGAGTTCTAACATTGTATCAAGTAATATGTCTTTGTCGCTATTTTTAGTAGATTAATTTTTTCCAGGAAATCTTAGCACCCCCTACTCCAAATTTGTTCCAACCTCCTTGGTTACGAGTGTTGAAACCGCCGGAGACTGAGGTTCTTTAAATACTAGTTGGATAAATTGTCAAATACCATGGATGTACGATGGATATAGAAACCCGGCAATGACATAAAACGCCATGACCTAAACTAGAGAACCGAGTTTATACGGAGTACTGATACTTACTTAATAATAGACATTTTTGTGGTTTAACTTTAGCCAAAATTTTTTATTCCGCTTAATGTGATGGTACAAATACGAATATATCCGAAATTTCATACAGCTCGACCTAACAGAACGGTAATCAGCTGGTAGTATTTACTAAATTGTTATAGATTTCATACCCTACCGATTTCTTAAATACATATTTAAGTCGAATGGTTTGGATGCAGCTCAACTGATCTCATTCGGACTGTTGTGTCAAAAGTTCGAATAGCAGTGTTGATTGCCAACCTTCGTCGGGGAGATGGCACGTAAAGAGGAAGACTAATAACCAATTATTATATTTAAAACGAATACTTGTTAAATACTTGTATCTCTTCGTGTACAACCTTTAATGTGTTCGCATTGTGCTTTGCCGGTAATTTTACTTTGTCACTTATTGTAAGAATAAACCGATTAAATATTGTTTTTAAAGTTAAAAATAAATCACAATAAGGTCTATTATTTAGTAATATCAGTGCTAAATTGGAACTTCGTTTGTCTTCCATCTTAGATAAAATTGATTTGCTCTGTTTCTTACACTAAAGGGTTTAACATTTTTGTTATTTGAACATTTTTTTTAACTTTTACAAAACTGTTAATCTCCGTTAACTGTTAACTCTGTGTTTGATAATTTAAACTAAACGTTTTGTTCTTTTTAATTTGTATGGTTCATAAATCAAGCAATTTTCTTCACTGCCATCATATTATATCTTTTTTAAAGTAAACCATGTACAATTTTTTTACATGAAACATCTTCAATAAAAGGTTATTGCCTCTCTCTCTCTCTCTCTCTCTCTCTCTCTCTCTCTCTCTCTCTCTCTCTCTCTCTCTCTCTCTCTCTATATATATATATATATATATATATATATATATAATAATAATAATAATAACGTTTATTTCCATGAAATATACAATTAATAATATTACAATAAAATAATTAAATGAAAATAAATTTTAAAAAATATTACTTTTACTTTGTAGTTCTGTAATTGGTTCAAGGTAAATAAACAGTAGTGCCCATTAAAACAATTAAGTTGAGCATGGGCCATTTTTTTAAATTGCTTATTTATATTGATCCTACAGCAAGGCGAGCTTTACTACTTTATTAGTTATAATTATTACCTATATTATGATAAAACAAAAAAAAAAAATAACAAAAATATTTTTATTAATTAATTAACAAGAAAGAGACAATTCATGCATACAATCAACCATGATAATAGCATATATAAATTTTTAAGATTTCGTAATCTATTCTTGATTTGACGTTAGTTATAACCTAATTGGTCTCAAAAAGGTGGCTGAACAGTTGTCTATAATTTTGTTTCAAGTACCTAGTAAACAATGTCTTAATCATTTTTTGCGAGTTTATAGTGATTAGGTATGTTTTGTAAATTTCAGGGAGCAAATTGTAGATTCTTCCTTGTAAATACTCAAAATTTCGTTTACCAACTGTTTTCTTTGCAATATTTAATTTGACAAAAGACTGTGCTCTATTTCTCGTATGATAGGTATGCCCTAATGGTGTGAGTAAGTGTTTATTTTTGTATAAATTGGTGATTATTGTAAGAATATATAATTGTCTTGTATCTAACATTTGAGTTTCGGTATAAAGATCATTAGTCGGGTATCTTGAAGGTCTATTGTAAATAATTTTTAATATTTTTCTCTGGATAATGTCTAATTGGTGGAGGTATGTATTTGCAGCTCCACCCCAACTAAGGATTCCATAACGTAGACGCGATTCTACCAAAGAATAGTAAATAACCTTCAGATGATGGATATCCAGTATATTACGTAAATATCGCATTTTGTACAATAGACATCTCAATGTTTTACACGTTTGGTTTAGGTGTATATCCCATCGTAGATACGAGTTGATTTGAACACCAAGGTGTTTTGTGTTACTCACTGCATTAATACTCAGATTTTTTATTTTTATAAATTTGTAATCTGGTAGACCTCTCTTATAGCTTGTAAATGGAACATAGACTGTCTTATCCATATTTACTGTAAGAAGTTTGTGGTTAAATATATCAATAATTCTTCCTAAGTCATGTTCCATTTTTCGCTTTAGTTCCATCCACGTGTCTGCAGAGTACAAAATTGCTGTATCATCTGCAAAACTTAATATCTCACCTTCAGTCCGGTAAGTAAGAATATTGTTTATGTACAGTATAAATAATATGGGTCCTAGTACAGTCCCTTGTGGTATACCAAAATTTATGCTTTTGGCACTACTCAATTTCCCTTCTAGTCGCACTCTTTGATATCGATTTTTTAAGTAGCTTTCCATTAAGTTAAATGTGTTTCCTCTTATAGCAATGTCTGCTAAAGTATCTAATAGTTGTAAGTGACTAACTGTATCGAACGCCTTTGCCAGGTCTAGGAATACACAAGCTGTTGGTGTACTGCTGTCAACTAAGTTATAAATTTTA